CCCGCCTTCCCGAGGCAGGGCGGGGAGCCCCCTCAGCACGGGGGTCTCGTCAGGCCGCCCCGCCCGCAGGGACTAACGGACGGTACCTTTGTGCGTGGGGCGGAGACCCTGCTCCGCGCTGCCGCCCCGCCCCGCCCCCCGCGCGCTGCTGTCGCATGTTCACCGCTGTCGCTTCCATGCATGCAAGTCTAACGGACGGTACCTTTGTGCGTGGGGCGGAGACCCTGCTCCGCGCTGCCGCCCCGCCCCGCCCCCCGCGCGCTGCTGTCGCATGTTCACCGCTGTCGCTTCCATGCATGCAAGTCTGCGCTCTGGGTGCGCTGCCTGCTGTCACGAAATTCAGGCAGGAATGAATGACGTGGGCTTTGGTCCGCGGCCCTGAGTGTTGTGCACCCACCCGAGTTGCACAGCCCTCTGTGGCCTGCCTTGCGCTCAGCTGCAGGAAAGAGAAAGTATCCACTCACTTCCGCTTCCCAATGATTTTTCCTTGGTTTTAGTTGAATGGCGCCCTATTAGCTCCATTAGACCTGCATGTCGTTTTTGTTCTGTATATGTTTATGTCCTGTCTTGCACGTCATGGGTGGGACGGTGTGTTGAGGCACAGCGCGCCTCCTTATCCCTTCATCGCCTGTGTTGAGGTAGTGTACCTGAGCAAGTTGCCCTTTGCTGGCCTGCATAGTTCATGAGCAGGGATATGTTTTTTTTTTCATGGAAATAGTGATTACGTTTTGATGCAGAGGTGCAGGGGAAAAAACTTGGAAAAGGAGGGGATATGTGGAAGATAGAGGATTGAAGAGCGTACGTTTTGATGCAGAGGTGCAGGGGAAAAAACTTGGAAAAGGAGGGAATAGGGGATATGTGGAAGATAGAGGATTACAGAGCAACACCCTCCACCATTCGGAGGCAGCTCTCATATTGCAGGTCTGGGCTTGGGTCTCCACTCTTGATGTCCCAATTGCTTGCAGTATTTATTCTTGAAAATTTCCTAATAGCAAGGGCCATTCGGTGCCTGGTAACTTGCTCAGTGTAACCTCTGGTCATAGAATCATAGGGTTGGAAGAGACCTCAGGAGGTCATTGAATTCAATCCTCTGCTAAAAGCAGGACCATTCCCAAATAAATCATCCCAGCCAGGGCTTTGTCAAGCCAGGCCTTGAAAACTTCTAGTAATGGAGATTCTATCACATCTCTAGGTAACTCATTCCTGTGCTTCACCACCCTCCTAGTGAAATAGTTTTTTCAAATATCCAATCTAGACCTCCCTCACTTCAATTTGAGACTATTGCTCCTCAGTCTCTCTCTACCCTATTTGAAATCCCCCCTCAGGTAGTTGAAAGCTGCTATCAAATCCCCCCCCCCTTCTTTTCTGTAGACTAAATAAGGTCAAATCCCTTAGCCTCTCCTTGCAAATCATGTGCTCCAGCCTCCTAATCATTTTCGTTGCCCTCTGTTGAACTCTCTCCAATATGTACACATCTTTGCTGTAATTGGGGACGAGAGGGCAGAATTATATGTAGTACTCCTGATGTGGCCTTGCCAGTGCTGAATAAAGGGGAATAATCACTTCCTAGATCTGGCACTGCTCCTAAAACTGCACCCCAATTATGCCATCAGCCTTCTTAGCTACATGGGGACACTGTTGACTCATACCCAGTTTCTTATCCACTGTAATCCCTAGGTCCTTTTCTGCAGAACTGTTGCTTAGCCAGTCAGTCCCCTGCCTATAGCAGTGCTTGGGATTCTTCAGTCCCAGGTGCAGGACTCTGCACTTGTCCTTGTTAAACCTCATCAGATTTCTTTTTGCCCAATCCTCCAATTTCTCTAGGTCAGTCTGGCCCTTATCTCTACCCTCCAGCATATCTACTTCTCTCCCTAGCTTAATATCATTTGTGAATTTGCTACGGTGCAATCCATCCCCTCAATCAGGTCATTAATAGAGATGTTGAACAAAACTGGTCTCAGTAGGGATGTAAACCACTGGTTGACTAGTCATTCCCCCTCCCCCCCCCTTGCTGCCTCTATCAGGAAGCAGGAGCTGGTGCTGGGGGGAGCTGGCTTAAAAACCAGTTCCCCCAGCACCATTTCTGTGGGGGCAGGGGAGGTAGAGGCACAGCGGGAAATGGCGTGAACGTGGACTGACGTAGTCTCTGCTCGCTCCGCTTCTGCTTTGATTTTTGTTTTTGAAATATATAAAAGCCCCATTGGGGCTTCTGCTTTTGAACTGTAACAAGAGCCCAGCTGGGCTCTTGCTGCATTGTGGAGGTGCCTTTCTAGACTAATCAAATAGTCAATGGAAATCCTGTTGACTACTCGCTTAGTTAATTAATCTAAATTTAACATCCCTACACCCCAGAACCGACCCTTGAGAAACTCCACTTGATACCAGCCATCGAGCTGTTGATTGATACCAGTTGAGCCCAACAATCTAACCAGCTTTCTGTCCATTACAGTCCATTTATCGAATCCATATTTCCTTAACCTGTTGTCAAGAATACTGTGGGAGAAACTATCAAAACCTTTGTTAAAGTCAAAGCATATCACATCCACCGACTTCCCCGTGTCCACAGAGCCAGTTACCTCTTCATAGAAGGTAATCAGATTGGTCAGGTATGACTTGCCCTTGGTGAATCCCTGTTGACTATTTCTGATCACTTTTCCCTCTTTCAGGTTCTTCAGAATGGATTCCTTGAGGATCGCCTCTATGATTTTGCTGGGGACTGAGGTGAGCTGTTCTGTCTGTAGTTCCCTCGGTTCTCCTTCTTCCCTTTTTTTTAAAAGATAGGCGCTACATTTGTTCTTTTCTAATAGTCTGGGACCTCCTCCGATGGTCATGAGTTCTTAAAGATTATGGCCAATGGTTCTGCAATCACAAGCCACCTTTCTCAGCACGCTTGGATTCAAAGTAGAAATAAGAGATCCTCCGGAAAAGGGCTTTATTCCGGAGGATCGCGCCAGTCTAGATACTTTTTTTCCGGCTTTTCCCCAAGCCGGAAAAAAAGCGGTGGACATGTTTATTTAAATCCGCGGGGGATATTTAAATCCCCCGCGGATTTCCCTATCCTGACTTACCTGATTTGCATCCCTTTTCCGGAAATTGTGGCCAGTGTAGACATAGCCAAAGTGAAAGCAGCCTGTTTTCATGGAGAAGGTCAGCTCCCAGAGGCAAAAAAAAAATTCAGTATTTCAGCTTTTCCCACGTCTTCTGTCACCAGGTTACCTCCTTCATTTAGTAAAGGTCCCACACCTTCCCTGACCACCTTCTTATTGGTAACATTACTGTAGAAATCTTTCTTGTTACCTTCCAAATCTTTTGCTATCTTCAATTCCAGTTGCGCTTTGGCCATCCTGATTACACCCGGATTACATGTTGCATGCTCGAGCAATATATTTATACTCTTCACTAGTCATCTGTTCAAGTTTCCACTTCTTGTAAGCCTCCTTTTTGTGTTTAAACTCACCAAAATTTTCACTGTTAAGCCAAGCTAGACACCTACATATTTGCTTTTCTTACTGCTCATCAGGATGATTTTTTCCTGTATCTTCAGTAAGGCTTCTTTAAAATACAGCCCGCTCTCCTGGACTCCTTTCCACCTCATGTTAGCGTCCCCAGGGATCCTGCCCATTAGTTCTCTGAGGGAGTCAAAGTCTGCTTTTCTGAAGTTTGGGGTGTGTGTTTTGCTGCTGTTCTTTCTTTCTTTTTTTTTGTTAGGATCCTGAAATTGACCATCTCATGATCACTGCTGCCCAGGTTGCCACCCACATCTACTTCACTACTATTTCCTCCCTGTTTCTGAACAGCAGGTCAAGCTGAGCCTGGTGCTTGGTTGGTTCCTTCAGCACTTGTACTGGAAAGTTGTTCCCAACTTTTTCCAAAATCTTCCTTGGTTGTTTGTGTACTGCTGTATTGGTCTCCCAATGGATGTCAGAGTGATTGAAGTCCCCCCAGCAGCTATGGTGGCTCATGCAGTGGCAATGGGAGGTGCCTTCCTCTCTCCTCCCCACTCTGCGTTTGGGAAGATGCGCTTGGGGAGGAAGGGGGCGTGAAGAAAGAGGGAGGCGTTTGAGCCACCAATGGCGGCTGCTCCCTCCACCCACACAGTGCCTTTGCCACCATTGGCAGAAGGAGGTAGAGCCGGAGGTGCCTCCATCCGTCCCCCTTTGATAATGGCACTACCCACGGAGGCACAAGACACTCTTGGAAAGGGAGGGGGTGCGAAGGAGAAGGGCTGCTTTCTCAGCCCACACGGCAGTAATGGCCATGCTCCTTAGAGAGCACAGCCTCATTCTGGTGGGTGTGGGGTGGCATGGTGGCAAAGGGCTGATGGTTGAGGGCATGATGGGGTCATGGGGCAAGAGGGTGTTGGCATTGGTGTAGATGGCAGAGGTTAAAGGGTCAAAGGGCATGGAATGTAGGAGTTGGGGGGGTCAAAGGGTGTTAAGCACTGAGGAGTAAGGGGTTAGATCGGGGCTAATAACATTTTATTTGCATATTCATTGTGAACATAATGAATATGCAAATTTGCAAATAGAATGTTGCCGGTCTGCCAAATGTTTGTGAATGGGTTTGATGGTCCGCAGCTTAAAAAAAGTTGGGAGCCACTGCCCTATAAGAATCAGGGCCTGTGATTTGGGAGCTTCTGTTAATTGTCTGAAGAAAGCCTTGTCTACTTCATCCACCTGATCTGGTGCTTTATAGCAAACACCCACCACAATATCACCCTTGTTGCTCCCGCCTCTAAATTTAACCCAAACGCTCTCAACGGTCTTTTTTCTTCCTCCTATATACTGAAGTCATAATGGCTCTCTTACAGTGCAACTCCTCCACCTTTTCTCCCCCACCTGTCCTTTCTGAATAGTTTATACTCCTCCATGACAGTGCTCCAGTCATGTGATTTGTCCCAGGAGGTCTCTGTTTTTCCAGACACATCATAGTTCTTTGACTGTGCCAGGAGTTCCATTTTTTCCTGATTGTTTCCCAGGCTTCTTGTGTTTGTGTACAGACACCTAAGATAACTAGCGGATTTCTCTACCTTCTCAGTATGAATCATAACACACTGTAACAGAATTACTTAACTAATCATATCCCACCACCTAAGGTGATTTACACCTTTCAAAATTAATTGTATAGCAGACAGAAACAATAAAAAAACCAGACAGATCATATAAACAAACAGTAGTAAAATGAGGACCATAGTCATAGAATGAGGATGTCACAACCTCAACTATTGATAAGGATTTTTTTTTCCAGATGAGATTCTATCAAACTAAGGTGTTCTTTTTTTTAACCCATCTTGAGATTTGTTTCTTTATCTGGTGATGATAGGTGCCATTAGGACAGAGTCTTCTTAACAGCCTATTCCAAATTACCATACAAGAGTGTATGTCATATGAGTTTGACTCTGCTTCAAAGCTAATGATTGCTGCTCTTGTAATCTGGATGCAGATGAAGGCTGTAGGCTTTAGACCTTCTAATATGACTACAGAGAAAGGTCATATACTTACACAACTGGTTTCTGAAAGGCTCAGGCATGCAGAAGATTTTCTGTGAATACAGATTCCCTGAGGTGGACTTGTAGTTTGTTGCAAACAACTGTCAGACGTTTAGCCTAAGATCAACTCTCTAGCACACTGTTTCCTCATCCCTTGGACATTGGGGCTGATGTTTGCCTTTCTTCTGTTCCCCAAGATACATAGGGTCCTGAGGAAACTGAGCCAAGACACAGGCTGAATGACCATGATGGCTCCAGAATGGGCCAAGTAATTCTGGAACTTGGTAGCTAAGTTCACCAAATCTGGTCTCCCAAATTAGTCTACCAGAACAAAAGTCATATCCTCCATCTGGACTGGGGATGTTAAATTGCAGTTAATCAGCTAATTCCCATTGATTTCTTAATTAGTCGGGGGAGGGGGGGCACTCGCTACCTCCCACTGTGGCTCTGCAGTTTAAATATAGTAGGAGATGGGTGTGCAGCAGTCAGGCTTCTACTACATTTAAACTGCAGAATTGGAGTGGGGTTAGCTCCCAGGAGCAGTGTATTTTAAATGTAGTAAGAGCCTGGTGGGCTGACAGAGGCAGCAAGGGGGGGGGAAGCTTATCAGGTAGTTGACTACTCCCTTACATCCCTATTCTGGAGCCAACATCTTTGCATGTGGCAGTCTGTATCCTGACTGTGTGACCTGCACTGAAAGAATCTTTGGGGATTGCAGCTGTCTTCCTGAGAGGTCACAGTGCTTTGATCTGGGCAGGCCGGTATTTTCTTTTCCCAGATGCAGTGGGGGTGGGAGAAGTGGCAGGGGAGTGGACCGGCACTCTAAATTAAAGGGTCCTCAACAAAATGTTGTTCAACAAAAATTTTCCCGGCTCCGGGGGGTCACAAATGAAAAAAGGTTGAGCTGGCAACATTCATGAAGACTGCTTGTATAGGTAGAAGAGATTTTCTGTCTGGTTATCAGCATCAATTTGCTTTTCTGATCACACCAGTTTATTCAGTCCTAGACTTTTTGATTGCCCTAAAACAATATGCTTAATAGGAGTTAACAGGCTGAATCTCTCCTAGTTGATTATGTCTGCTTCTCTAATTACACTATTTCACAAGGTCAAATTACCTTAGATGTCACCTAAGTTCCTACTGAAGGTGGTCTCAGAATTCTATATAAATCCATCCATTGACCTGCCAATTTTCCTTCCTAAGCCTTTTGCTAGCCTGATGAAGGAAAGCTTCACTTACTAAATATGGTGAGAACATTGTTATTTTCTTTTGATAGACTATCTAATTGTTCAGAAAAACACCTATACTATTCCTGGCTTTCACTGACAGGAGTGTGGGCAACTTATATCAACACAGTTTGTGTTGTCAATGGGAAGCGACTGTCTAGGAAGGAGTACTGCAGAAAAGGATCTAGGGGTCATAGTGAACCGCAAGCTAAATATGAGTCAAGAGTGTGATGCTGTTTCAAAATAAGCAAACATGATTCTAGGATGCATTAACAGGAGTGTTGTGAGCAAGACACGAGTCATTCTTCTGCTCTACTCTTCATTGATTAGGCCTCAGTTGCAGTATTGTATCCAGTTCTGGACACCACATTTCAAGAAAGATGTGGAGAAACTCGAGAAGGTCCAGAGAAGAGGAATAAAAATGATTAGAGGCCTAGAAAGCATGATCTATGAGGGAAGACTGAAAGAGTTGGTCTTGTTTATGTTAGAAAAGAGAGGACTGAGAAGGGGACATGATAGCTGTTTTCAAGTATCTAAAAGGGTATCAAAGGGAGGAAAATTGTTCTCCTTGGCCTCTGAAGCAATGGGCTTAAATTGCAACAAGGGAGACTTAGGTTGGACATTAGTCTACTAGAGCAGAGGTCATATCCTCCATCTGAACTAGGGATGCTAAATTGTGGTTAATCTAACTGTCAGGGTGGTTATACACTGGAATCAGTTGTCCTAGGGAGGTTGTGGAATCTAGCAAAAGACTAAAGCCAGGGACATTCTTTAGGACATCCAGGATCTGTTGTCACAAATATGTTTTTATGTTGCTTAGTAAGGAGATATAGAAATGGGAAAGAGCAAGTATTTCCGTGTTATAGTTCTTCTGATTTTTTAGGTCCAATGAATACTAAATGTGAAGGGTCAGAGAGAAGTGAAGAGTGGCCTTTTACAAAACTTGGTAGACAAATTGGTAAAAAAATGTCTGGGTAAGGACAGAATGCTGAAGCCTGGGAAATGTC